TCATGTATATTAAATAATTCATATTGGTTAATGTGCAGTAAAAGTAAAAACTGAATGTAACATTTGGTACTCATTAAGAATTTTATAGGCAAACAATGGACTCAATATTGTTGGTCATGGTGAGTAGGGGCATCCCAATTTTGCCATAGCGAGTCCAACAGTGGGAAGCCAATAAATAGCAATGGCTTAATTGATTATTTTCTGATAATTTGGTCATTGATGCAAACTTTAGAAACAGTATGTGACAAACAACCCTATATTAAGAAAATAATGATCTAGCTTCACCTTTATATCTTTCCAACTTAAGATGGTGAAAGGAAAGACAAAAGGGATCAAGATCATTTTTGATAAGCATACATAAAATCAAATAATAACAAGAATGTGTCCATAGTACACGGATGCCCCACTCGCACTATCATTTTCTATGTTCAGTGGACTGTGAAATTAGGATAAAAAAGATCAGATCATAGGGAACTTGTGTACTAAGTTTCATGTTGATTGGACTTCAACTTCATCAAAAACTACCTTGACCAAAAACTTTAACCTGAAAAACTTTTACCTGAAGCGGGACAGACGGAGGGACGGACAAACGAACAAACGAACAAACGAACGAACGAAAGGACGAATGAACGGACGCACAGACCGAAAAAGATAATGCCCATAAATGGGGCATAAAAATAATGCACTGTAATAAGGTTTGGAAGTTGAAAAAATTACATGTACTTTATAATTGTCTAGGTAGGATGCTTCAAAACAAGAATAGGCTTCATAATTTCTGGGACTAAGAAACCTACAATACACCAGTTAAAACTAATAAAAGGGGCGCAGAGATTTTTTACTTATTTCAATACTAGGAACAGACTATTTTGACACTACCCTTCTGTAAAAATATGAATCAGCACCATTTAAATATTCAAATCACAAAACAATTTTTGGTATATGGGATAGGGTAAATAAAAAGTGGGGATGTGGGATAATTTTTTTTTTTTTTGGGGGGGGGGGGGGGGGGGGGGTGTAAAACGTGGAAACGTGGAATGTGTCATCTAAGAAATAAAAGCGAGACTTTCAAAATAACAGCGATTTAGGAAACTAGCCACCTACTCGTTTATATCAAACAACAGCCTAATGTTGTATCCCCAAGCCCTATATATCATCGGCGATTCGCCTTATGATAAGCCCGTACAATTCATGGTTCATGGATATGCAATATGGAATGAGAAAAACAGTCGACAATCTATTTTTCTTTGTTGTTTATAAGCATGTTTCCCCCTGTTATTTACCCAAGAATCAATGAGTTTGGTATATTTTATTTTATGTTAATTTTGTTTCAATCAAGATCCGACTTCAGTCTGACGTTTAACGCCATTTTCAACTGGTACCGTATGTGGACGTTCGACAAACCGGGAACCGAAACGCTCAAGTTCAAGGCCATCATTAGCTCATACCGACCGTTAATATTTGTATATTCCGAAGGCATACTGGATATTTTACGGAGGGAACCAACCTAGGCGCGAACGGACCCGATACCTACCACGGCGCCACCTATTCAGGAACGATAATTTGCTACTTTATATAACTGCGAAATAACAATAACGTTAGACGGGTTCACGTGCATAAACAGAAATGCGCTTAAAATTTATAATATAATTAATGTTCAGTCGACTCTTAATTATTATATCAACGACTGAAATGATTTATAAACATCTAGATTGCAGATAACACTCGAAATTAACCCGAGCTCTTTCCACACGGAATTCAAATAATTCTAGTTTGTCAATCGGTTGACTGCTTATAATACAAAATACAAATATATCAAAAGTTTTTAAAACTAACAAAACACAATGATCGTTTCTCTATTTCCCAATGTAAATGAAATGAAACAAAAAACATTTTATATCACAATAAGAAGAGGAGAGAATTCAACATTTCCGGATCTACTTGGAGCCTAATGACCCCCCACGTAGATAAGTTGGATATCGCGGAAGGAAGGATTAACCCGGCAACTAGAAAGGCATTAAAGCACTGCCTTTAAAAACTAAATACATCCCTCCTTTTAGATAAATCACCCAGACCCTGACAGTTAACAGACAGTATCTTTAAAGAGCCCATAATGGTTTGAAATATGTGTACATCCTCATTTGAAATAGGTATGCATAATATTTAGTTGAGGCAAACTCAAGTTAGAGAAAGGAAACCAATTTTGGGACGTACGTACAGATGGACAAGGGTAAAACTTAATGCCCCCACGGCTACGGCGGGGGCAATAAAAGCTCAAATATAACTTTGATAACATATTTTCAGATCATGGGACAATCACTATCCTTACCTCAAGCGCAGTGTCCTGTACAGCCTGTCCATCAAGCACAACTTCCTATCAGATGTCAGAGATGTGATAATACTAAAGTTAAATGGAGGTGTAATGAATGTGTTTTACTGATGTGTGACAGGTGTGGACGCCAAGACCATGCTTTCAAGGTCATCAAATTATTGACATAACAACAATCCAACAAGTAAAAATTTCAGATGTGAAGGAGTATGAGACTAAACTGGGTTTCAAAACTTTTTTGGCAGTATCCTATGATAATTCCATCTGGATTGGTGATGGAGAAGAGGAGGAAGGTTTCCATCTGTTTGCATCACATACAGCCCTTCAGAATGTAAAACTTGTAGGAGATAAAGTGAAGATCATATCCAGTTTTAATATGACAGTATGTAATGTAGCTGCAACTCCTAATAATGACATCCTAATAGCTACAGGGAAACCAACACTAAAGCAGATCAAGGTTGGATCTACAAAAGTGATAGATTCTCCATTCTTTGTAAAACAATGTGATTTAAAAACCGTGCATGTGACCAAAGATGGCAGGGTCATAGTTGGTGGATTGAAATGTGTTGTTACTATGGATGCAGATGGTAACCATCTTACAAGATATGGAGAGGATAAAAACTATCAAGAAATGTTCTCTGAAGTTATAACGTCTATAACCAGTACCACTAATGGGAATATTTTTGTGACAGGTAAATATGAAAACAAAGTGTTAGTTTTCAGAAACACAGATGTCATTAGTATCTATAGAGGATATCCTAAAATGTACTACAGTAACAGAAAAGAATTCTCTCCATCCTCATTAGTAACAACACCAATGGACAATGTTATTGTGGCACTACACATACTGAATGATACTGGTCATCTCCTGACCACCTACAATACCAAGGAAATAGTAAACATGGTAATGCCACAACATCTAGCCATCACTACAGAAGGATCATCCACTGTATTATTTATGACTTGCTTGGGATCAAATAACTTGTACAAGATGTTTCTTACAGGGTGTTAAGTCTGATGTGTAAATATAACTGACTGTATCACTCATAAATTTCATAAAATTATTTTACACTACACTAGAAGTTTACAGCGAATTGACAATTCATAAGTTCAGGCGAACGAAAGATAATAATCTGTTATCAAAATTCGTGCAGTGACAAATGCTTTACATACAGTTATTCCCAGTTATATATTTGGTTCTATATGACACAAAAGGGGGAGGGAAAATAAGATACTACACAGGGTAAAAAAACAAAAAGAAGTAAAAGAACGATAGACAAAACAATAGCCAAAAGGAAAAGATAAAAGAAAAACTACAGTCACAAAAACATCACCCTAAAAACTAAAGATTTCATTTGATAACCATCAAAATGTTCTATTTATAGCTTGTGGTTGAGTACTGGTCAATGAAAAGTTACTGTATTTACCAGTTTCTGTCAACTGGCATATTATCTTATACATTACATGTGTTCTAAAATAACAGACTGCTTTTATTTTCAGACAAATAATTTACTTTGTTTGATCTGATTAAGATAAGGAAATGCCAAGTTATCTTGGGTTTTTCATGAGCCATGGGAAGATGCGCCTTTGGGGACATGACTTCATTGCTTTATGACATCCTCCATTTTGGAAAACTTAACGTTTTCAGACAAAGTAATATCTAAGCTGGCTTTAGTATCACAATTTGTTTATCAACTTCAAAATCAATACTCCTCTTCAAAACAATGTAATTTTTATTTCAAGTGATATAAATCCCTGATAAGTTCAGATTAAGTAAAGGAGCAAGACCCATTGAATGAAATGTCGGAATGGTAATGTTTTTAATTCTTTCTCTACTTACAAATACATGTAACAGCAAAAATATGAGATTAATGTGCCAATAAAGTGTAAATTCTACCACTTAGTGGCTTAATTCATATGTGACAGTTACTTTTGCTGTACCCGTTAATTTTGGTAACCCTTCATATGCTACAACAATAATTGGAAACAGAATTCCTGATAGACAATTATATTCAAGAAACATTGTGAGTTTATTACAGTTACTCATACAAAACTATTACTGACTTAAATTTTAATCTAAAATTATCAGTTCATTAAATTTTATTTGTTACAATATTAAGGCTGCAACTCTCTCAGGCAAGGCTGGCCTTAAATGTTTTACTGTTCTGCTTATGTCCTTTTACCTTTGATATTTCCTAAGACTTTATAAAATAAGCTTTACTATACTTTTGAGCATACTTGCTGAAGGTTTTTGCTGAAACAAGAGTTATGCACACATATATATTGGTATTTTCAAGTTGACACCAATATTCCATGGTTTGAATTTCCTACCATTTTGTCTTTGACAGGGAAAATGCTGCTTACAAGAAACTCTTGAACCAAAAGTTACTAATAGTAAAGCTGATGTTTCCCCTTCCAAAGTTTTACAAATGTCATTAAGATTTGGTTGAACTTGATAGAATATATTTATATGTGTCACAGATGACCACAGATATGGTTAAGCCACAACCCTGACCTCTTTTCCGTCATTTGCAACTTGTGAATCAAATTTTAATTGCCGCGGGCAAAATGATTGGTGCCACTGGTGGAGCTGAAACTGTTTGTTTATTCTTTTGAAGCACCTGAGGTCAACCAAGGTTTTTAATCGGGTTTGTGTTACATTTGTGTAGTGTTTTTTGGGCTGTCATTTGTCTTTTCATTGTTGTTTTTTATTTTGCTATTGTTTTTTTTTTAAATTTAATTATGGTATTTGAGTGCAATCTCTATACCTTCTGTAAATGATATCTTTTCTATGAATGAAACTTCTAGTGTAGCATAGTCAAAGTACTACCTATTCCAAACAATTAGACTTTACCTCCCTGATAGCAACAATTAGACTTTACCTCCCTGATAGCAACAATTAGACTTTACCTCCCTGATAGCAACATTAGACTTTACCTCTCTGATAGCAACATTAGACTTTACCTCCCTGATAGCAACATTAAGACATTTCTCTTATTACCTATTCCAAACAATTAGACTTTACCTCCCTGATAGCAACATTAAGACATTTCTCTTACTACCTATTCCAAACAATTAGACTTTACCTCCCTGATAGCAACATTAAGACATTTCTCTTACTACCTATTCCAAACAATTAGACTTTACCTCCCTGATAGCAACATTAAGACATTTCTCTTACTACCTATTCCAAACAATTAGACTTTACCTCCCTGATAGCAACATTAAGACATTTCTCTTACTACCTATTCCAAACAATTAAACTTTACCTCCCTGATAGCAACATTAAGACATTTCTCTTACTACCTATTCCAAACAATTAGACTTTACCTCCCTGATAGCAACATTAAGACATTTCTCTTACTACCTATTCCAAACAATTAGACTTTACCTCCCTGATAGCAACATTAAGACATTTCTCTTACTACCTATTCCAAACAATTAGATTTTACCTCCCTGATAGCAACATTGAGACATTTCTCTTACTACCTATTCCAAACAATTAGACTTTACCTCCCTCGATAGCAACATTAACACATTTCTCTTAATACTGTCTGTTCAATTTACAAATTTGTAATTAATGTTAGACTTCAGTCATTTCATCTACCCCTGGTATGACACATGGGACTAAATGAATCTTTCCATATTGGAATAGACTGCTCAATCTTTTCTTTTAAAGGCCATTAGTGTAGAAAAAGCACTTTAAATCATGAACAATTCAGCAAAATGCTCCATCAATTTAAGTCAGAATATTGAGAGGGGGCACAAGAGCTCCCCTATTTATGTTCTCAGGTCTACTTATTAACGAATGCACTTAAATCAATCCCTAATTTCCTCAATGCAAGTAAGTATATATTACAATAAACCTTCACGTTACCCTTTATACTATCCTTATATTCAATATTCAATGGATATCTTGTCCATTTATTCATTGTAAAGATGCATTAACCTTGAAACTTTCAATTAAGTTTTTATACAAAGAGCAGCATTTGCCAGTATATAAAGTGCATACTGTCATTTTCTGCAGACATTTTGTTTTCTATACTGCTATATTGCATTAATCTAGAAATAATGATTCTTCAATATCATGCTCTACAAGAATTATAAAGCTTATAATGGTTCATACAATACAATTTCTTTTTTACTTCAATGATTACAATCATAACTACAGATTCAATTTCCTTTTTGTTAATTTTGCCTGGTCATATTACAAACCAGTATCAGTACAACTAGACTGATTACAGTATTGTAGTTCATGTTTCAGGCCTTCATAAAAATAAGGTTTTACTAGTTCATGCTTCAGGCCTTCATAAAAATAAGGTTTTACTTTCACAAACTGAATTATATTGGTTAGCTTTACAAATCTGGAAAGGATATTTGTGTCAGTAAAACCATTATTTTACATACTGTGGATTCATTATTATTCGTTTGATACCAATTTTCGTGGTTACAGGTGAACCACGAAATTAAATGTTCAAAGAACAACAAATTTTCTATAGGCTTATATGCAGACTTTGGCAAAACCACGAAATTACATATCCACGAACATGCAAGTTTTCCGTAATCCACGAAAATTTGTACCCAGGAAAATAAATGAATCCACAGTATGTCAAGCGTAAAATACAACTAATGCTCATATAACTGAAAACATGGGCTCCTTAGGTCACTGTAACTTTACAGCAGCAGGACTACATATGTCCATATCCTTTTGGGATTACCAGAAAAGACAAAAACATAATATGCTACAATGTAAGCTAAAAAGTTATAAAAAAGTACTATAACATATTCCAAAGGTTTGATTTAACAGATGAATTACAGGCTAATTTACATTTTGATGAGGAAATTCTAGTACAAAATACATAGACTGTACTCTTTAGAGATTTGATTATTGATGGTGTCAGCATTCCTGTTGACAAAAGACAGCTGACATTTGTTTTCCGAAAGACTTGGAATAAATAGTCTGACAGGGAGTATCGGATTGGCTTATGTAATTTTAGAACCAGACTTTCGTCCTTTTCCTGTAAATCTTAGTTTAGCAGATATCTTCATTGGAATAGAGTCAACAGATATTTACTTTTCTTAAATGCATGGCCTAAACCTAACCCAGAATCGCAACTGTTCACAAAAATGAGTTTAAAACTGGTTCAGGAACATTTGGTGAAATAATTTTATTTAGGAAATATTTCTGGCTAACTTTGAAAGCCATCATTGACTCAAGCATTTAGTCTACAGTAGATAGAGACATACTCTAATAAACCTCACCTTACAGTAAGACAAAAGCTTGCTATCCTTCATCAAATGCCACTTATAATCTGATTTTTACTTGTGAGGATCAGGACATGGGTGCAATTAAGGGAGCAGAAACCTTTATCCTATGAGATTACCTGACTTTCTCCCAATCTTTGTTGAAAATGTGGAACTTTTTGTTTGTCTTTTCTTTTGAGCATGCTGTTCATTGTCCTTCTTGAAATCCAAAAGACAAAAAAAGTTGTCAAAAGACAGACAAGGGAAACATATTTTTTTTTCAAATGACCCTGATGCTAGTCAAGTTATAAGGGAATTTAACCAGCTAAAACATCTGTTGTCAATTAAAATTCCCTAAATGGTCAAAAGACAGTCAGTATCATAAGAAACAACCAACAAGGTTCTTTGACAGGTATATACATAAGTTTGAACTGTATTACTAAGTGCACAAGGAGATTCTAATCCTGTCAACAGACTTGGTCTTAGTCTCTGTTCATGAGTTCATGTCATCACCACTGTTTAAACTCCAAACTTTGTACTAGTGATATTTTTAATCTGTGTTATTGTATCTATCCTTCTTAAGACATTTGAAGTTTACCTATTTGTTCCATGGCCTGTTTGTCTGTCTGTGTATATCTCTACTCTAGACATTCAAGGTTTATTTTTGTCTGTTAATATCTATCCCTTCATGAAATTTGGTGAGTATCTGTCTGTTTGTCTTAATTTATGGCATTTGAGGTCTGTCTGTCTGTATAACATCTGAGTTCTGTCTTTTTATTTTTTTCCAACTGCTATTTAAGGTCTGTCTGTATGGCATCTGAAGTCTGTTTTTTTCTATCTGTCTTTTCCTTTCTCTACAACTGCTACCTGAGGTCTGTCTGTCTGTATGACATCTAAGGTTTGTCTTTTTCTGCCTGTCTTTTCCTTTCTCTACAACTGCTATTTGAGGTCTGTCTGTCTGTCTGACTGTATGACATCTGAAGTCTGTCTTTTTCTGCCTGTCTATTACTATCTATTCAACTGCTATTTGAGGTCTGTCTGACTGTATGACATCTGAAGTCTGTCATTTTCTGCCTGTCTATTTCTATCTATACAACTGCTATTTGAGGTCTGTCTGTCTGTATGACATCTGAAGTCTTCTCTTTTTCTACCTGTCTATTTCTATCTATACAACTGCTATTTGAGGTCTGTCTGTCTGTATGACATCTGAAGTCCGTCTTTTTCTGCCTGGGATATCTTTCTTTACAACTGCTATTTGAGGTCTGTCTGTCTGTATGACATCTGAAGTCTGTCTTTTTCTACCTGTCTATTTCTATCTATACAACTGCTATTTGAGTTCTGTCTGTCTGTATGACATCTGAAGTCTGCTCTTTTTCTTCCTGTCTATTTCTTTCTATACAACTGCTATTTGAGGTCTGTCTGTCTGTATGACATCTGAAGTCTGTCTTTTTCTGCCTGTCTATTTCTATCTATACAACTGCTATTTGAGGTCTGTTTGTCTGTCTGTATGACATCTGAAGTCTGTCTTTTTCTGCCTGTCTATTTCTATCTATACAACTGCTATTTGAGGTCTGCATGTCTGTATGACATCTGAAGTCTGTCTTTTTCTGCCTGTCTATTTCTATCTATACAACTGCTATTTGAGGTCTGTCTGTCTGTCTGTCTGTCTGTATGACATCTGAAGTCTGTCTTTTTCTGCCTGTCTATTTCTATCTATACAACTGCTATTTGAGGTCTGTCTGTCTGTCTGTCTGTCTGTATGACATCTGAAGTCTGTCTTTTTTAGGTCTTTATTTGCTTATACATCTCAGGTTGTCTTTGTTCTGTGTGTCAATTTCTATCACTTCTACTGCAATTTGAGGTCTGTCTGTATGACATCTGAGGCCTGTCCTTTTTATCTCTGTCTATTTTTATCTCTTCGGCTGTCATTTTAGTCCAGTCTGCATCACTACTATGATCTATTATATTATTTTCTATTACCTGCACTTTAATCATTATGGTATTTCCCAATTTAGACACAATGTATTCCTTAAAATAAAATCTATTTAAGTATTTAGTACAACCTTTTTATAGACAAATGAGCTGAAAATTGAAAATAATCAGCACATACAATTCACTTATATTTATAAATGACAAGCTTTAAGTATATTTATTGAAATAGCCTCAGTATTATCCATTGTAACAGCGGTGTAAAGGCATCTGGTGTTTATATCAAGTCAATGAGTACATATATGCAGACAACTGCCATCAAAGAACTATGTCAGACTGCATTAATGAGGGAAACAAAATGTATGATCTGACTTTTGTGCTGACAACACATGCTTATAGAGTAACCATCATCATGTTCCCTTAAAACAACAAGTTTTAAAGTCAAAAATACAAAGATATTAAAAGCATCAAATTTTTTATTTCAATATGATTTCTTAAACAATTTTCATCATATGGCATGTTTGTATTTTGGACATTTTTATTTTATTTTCACTTTTAAATAAAATTAGCCTTTTTTAGTTACTTTAATCAAAAGAACAGTAAGCTTTGATTTAAACTCTTTAACAATCAATATTTGCATATCATTTGAATGTTAGAGACCTTTTGAAATGAAGATTCTTGAAATTTAAATAGTTTTAGAAAGGAGAATTTTTTAAATCAGTTCTTTCTTTCATGATAGACAGGAAAAATTGAGAAATAACAAATCATTAAATATTTTTCCTAATCTCATCCACTCAAAGAAAATGACGAGTCCTTTATTTTATTTGGAAAAACAACATGTACAACAGATATCAAATTTTCAATTAATGTTGTCAATAAAGTATCAAAATTATGTAAGGGAATTAGATGTTTTAATGAGAAATTATTGATTTTGAGTATACTTTCCTCTGATACAATGAAATGTCTGTTATAATAACAGTGCACTTTATTCTTTACCAGGATTATCTGCAGTACAAATAACCAAGTTTTATGTAATAAGTTCTATATTTTATGAATAAATGAACTTGGTGCCTTCAAAAAAGTTTAAGCCAGCAACATTCTTTATGCTAGTCACAAATCAGGAGCCTGTAGTTCAGTGGTTGTGGATGGTTCATGTCTGTCATATTCGTTTTCTGTAAATTGTTTTGTTATAAATTATACCGTTAGTTTTCTCATTGAATTTTTTCATATATATTTTATGTCAGGGCCTTTTTATAGCTGCCTACACAGTATGGGTTTTTCTCATTGTTGAAGGCCGTACAGTTGCTTATAGATGGCAAATATGTCAGAAAAATTATACAATAAATTGGGTAGGTCAGAGTCAAACAGGATGAAAGAAAGGAAATTTGGACTTACACTGGAAAAAGAGAGTGGCAGAAGTTTTGTCTTATAATAGGTCAACTACAGACCT